ATAATGGTAAAATATTTGTTTTTATCGATCCAGTAGTTTTGGAGCTTATTCTGTCTAAACAAACAATCGAATCTTTCCCCTTTTTCATGCTACTCTTAAGCACGCATTTTTACACGGTTTTATAAACCTTGTTTACAAAAACACTATGGTAAAAATAACTTATTTATCCGGTAAAATATTTTCTGTAAATTTAATGACGCATTCCTGTATTATATGTACACACAGTTATTATATCTAAACGTACTGGTGGACAAACATATGTCTAATTTCCACCACACCATTATGAACATATTAAAACTAATTACTTAATAAATAAATATATCCTAGTCAAGATGCCGGATTTAGAAGTCTGGAGGCCTAGCGGCAATAAAGGACTACAGGCGTAGTGTCCACAATTTTGTTTCGAAATAAACTGGACAATTTTTGTCAGTCGAGTTTTCCAATAAATAATTTATTGTGAATATTATTATTCCTCTCCTTCTGCAATGTAATTACCTCTTAACACAACACTCTTCCTCAGCTCCTAGCGGAGTGCCTGGAAGAGCTTATATAATTGCTTTCTTGTGTGCATAGGAGTGATAAATACTCCATGGAATCCGATTCGGCCAAAATCCGTGAGCTCGCGACCTTGAGTGCGATTTTCGCTGACGTCACCCATCCATCACAGTCGATGGCCGATTCATAAAGGTATTAATTTAACTTTGCGATGACGTTGATTGATATTATCGATATAATATTCGAATAATTACTGATGCAGCGATTATTCATATCCCGCGGTTATCTGCGGATTTTGGTTGACATTGTCGATTTTGTTTTTACAATCGATAGAAATATTAATGACATTTTTTACTGACATAAATCGTTTTTTTTATTTATATTTTTTTATTCAGTCTATATCAGTTGCGTCGACATGTGTACCTATTATATTTTTAAATGTTATAGTTTTATCATAAAGCGCCTTCGTAAAACAAATATCAGTGCTAGTTTTTATTGCTTAGTTCGGTCTTAGTATTTCTATGAAAAAGAAATTGCTATCAGATGCGGTCTAAACCAAAATTGACGACTCGTAGAAATTACGGATCGTATTTCGTTATTCGTATGCTCTCGAAAACTTTATTTTCAACATATTATGATTAAAATTAATGAATATGGCCTTGAAAGAACGTTTGTTAAATTCATCAATTTTAGGAGAGTTTGAAGGTGAAAAAAACATACATGAAAAACTTTTGATATTCTCGCAATTCTCCCAAAATCTTTTTATAATTAATCCGATGTTTTTGCTTTATTAATCACGTTGTTTTTCATAAATTATATATCTAAAAATTGTGATTTAATGACTGATTGTCAGTGTTATCCTAAAATTTAAAGAGATAATAAATTTATAAAATTATATAAATATGGCATCGCTTTATATAATATACATTAATTGTTGAAACATTTTCCACTTTGTATTTTAAGAAGATTGTGTCACGCTTTTGTAGGAAATTTACAGATCAGATACAGAGCAGTGTTGTCGTAGTGGCTATATCGACTCTCAAAACTGGGGTCGTACGTTCGAATCACATACGGTGTACGAGTACTACTCCTTTAATATTTAAAGCCCGGCAACGCACTTCCAAGCCTTTTAGCAGTGTGAGCGGCAGTATCACTTAACAACAGATAAGACTTTTGCCTGTTTGCTGTTCCATAAAAAAAATTAAAATTCATCTAAGAAACATACCCAATCTGTGGGCAGAACCCATAGCGTAGCGCCACTACCTTATTATTATCATTTAATACATAGCATCACTTAAAGCATCTGGTCTTATGGAACTACTTTAAGTTCAAGATTCAGAGTCGAGTCATCTATGAAGTCTAATAAAAAATGAAGTCTGAAAAGCCTCCAATAAATCTGTTATTCATCACTTAACAGATGAGTGTATACGCGCGATGACTGCAGCCCTAATTTACCCCGACGCCGCTCGCGCCTCTGACAAATGATACTTGTTGCTTCTAACCGGCCTTTAATGGAGATGCGAACGTCAATGGTACTGCTATATGTTTTCTAATACTAAGACTATACTTATGTATTATATTCATATTCCTATAATTATACATATGGGCGTTCCTGCTAGATAAATTTTAATGAAGTTTAAAGAGGAATAAAAAAACGCGGTCTGAAAAGATTCTCTTCCGTTTTCTTGGGTAAAAAGCATACTCTTCGAGCAGTAAACGATTTTTACTTCACCTTAGATTTGTGGTTGTATTACACTGAGTCGAAGAAACTAAATTCTGATGTTTGAAACATAAATTTAATTAAAATAGTTATTAAATATCTCAACCAAGAGCAGTATTTGCTTTGCACCACTATGTGGAACCAGCTGCCCACTGAAGTATTCCGAACCAATTCGACTTATTATTCGTCCAATTAGGTACCAGATATTTACAGGCCGGCAACGCATAAGCAAGCCCTCTCCGAGGGCGACGGATCATTTAATATTAGATGAGCCTTCTGCCCGTTTGCTCTCTGTTCTATAAAAAAAAGAAAAATTTACAGTTAAAAACTTATTGTTAAACGAATAAAATTTATTTAACAGAAAACTTTAATAATATTACCGAACCGTAAATAAATCAAGAATCTACGTATTTGATAAATTGCAACTAGTTATTCTAGTACGATTGACTAAACGCTGGCAGAAGGCTTAGCAGAGGACAGTTGAGTGTCAGGGCTCGTAGGGTTAGTGACAGCTACAAATGATACTTGTTGCTTCCACCGAGACAAACGTTTGTCGACCTTTATCTAACACCAACCATTTTTTAACATAGCCTATATAGGGTATATATAAGTTTAGCAAAAATGTATAACTTTCAAATAAATTATTATTATTAATTTTTGACTAACCAACAAAATTTTCGTCACATGATCCAATATAAGTTTTATATTAAGGGGCAAATATAATTTTAACCTCTACAATTAACCTCGAATAATAATTACTTTAAAAACTCTTTCATTTTAGACATCGGACATTTTTTTATACATGTTTCTTAACTCATGGAACATTATAATCTAGCGTAACATACTAATAAGTAATTAAAGTCTAACCCAGTTTACTAATAAGGATTTTTATATAAGAAAGTGTTCAATAACACTATTTACAGTCTCTATTAAAGGGAAGACACTTGTGTGCTCTATTTTTTTTTCACTCACTGTGTAGTAATACTAATGTGCACTAACACTAAGACATCGGACATAACATATAAATTTTATTAATTGTAAATTGTCATTTGAAAATAACAAATTGTCAAATATTATACTATACTTTGAAAACATCTCCAAAAAATACATATAAGAAAAAACCCTCCCAAGAATTGATAACAAACTATGATAAATAATGGCGTATTAAAAATATCCGTACATTCTTAGAACGCGAACTATCTAGCCTGTCCACGCAGAGGCGCCGACAGGCTATCTGACAGTTTACGACCCCACCTGGTCAATTACCAGGTGATAAAACCCACCGCTCGATAAAAACCCAGGTCTACCGTAAGCTACTGCTCAGGCTTCGTTACTGGTTCAGATTTACGAGCTGTTATCGGAAGATGCGAAACACTAGCTGAGCATTACCTGAATTTATTGGACAATACTAAATTAATTACTGGGCGAGTAATGGATTGAATAGCATAGCTTTTATCGCGAGCAATTTGACTGTAGATAGAGGTATTTTGCTGTTGTGAAAGTTTTAATTGAACAAAATATAGGTTAGGTTCAATATAATAATTTATTTTCAACTACCTATGGGAGTCTTGGTATTTGATGTAAGCTTTTGTTTGAAGGAAATTATGTACTTTTTAAATATATTACCCACACATTGTCTATGCTAGAAAACGAAATGCATTTTCAAGGATTCCTACTAAAAATTAAAAAGGGTTATGTTCTATTATTTTTGAGAGCTTTGTTTACTTTTGCTGAAAAGAGTAAATCTGCTTACGTAATACTTGACCGACCCCCGTACGCGCTTAACATGACTGGTGATTGATTCCTCACGGTCCTATATCACTGAATTAATTAAAAAAGTTTAATTGCACACATAGAAAGACTAATCTACTACTGCACTACTGGGACCGCTTTACTTTAGAGTTCAAAGTCCCTTATTTTGGTTATCAATAGATAAAATATTTATAATGGGTTACTAGGACATCGTTTTTACATGTTACATTTTGTGTTATAAATACCGACAATATGCAAGATATCTTTCTTAACTTACTTAGTAAAACACAAAGGTACAGCCAAAGTTGTTTACTTAAAGAGTCTTGATATAATTAAATGAATAGTGGGTTTCAATCAGTTCGCGACGCGTAATTTCCTCGGCCGCTATCGAGCACTGCACCAGACGGCCGCTCCACAAAGAGCGTGCCTTTGTTCGCATTCGATTCCACAAAGACTAGTTTTTGAATTAAACAACTGACGGACCATAAGTTTTTGTACGCCAATTTCTGCTTCGTTTCTTACTAGAAAATGTACTTCCAATATATTTAATATCAATTTGATACGGACACTGATAAGAGACGGTGCAAAATAAATATAGTAGTGAGCTTACAATGAATTGGAAGTTTATCGCGGCTAAAGTTTGTATTGCGAAACGGTGTCATATCGGTGGATACAGTGCGGATTACCGCTACCATCGCCATTTGATTGATCATTTGATAAACACGACATACTATCTGTTTGAGTGATTATACCATCCGCTGATAACTTACCTCGATCAAAGCTCAACTAAAAATCATAATTCAAAACAATTTAATACCACCGTTTTCATTTAAGTCTTCTTCCATTACAATAAAGTCCATTTCCGCAAACTCCAATTTATCGAAACCTATTTATGATGGCACGATACAATCAAGATTTATAACTTTTATTGCGACCCAATGCGTTTCTTTAGCATTGACATCCGTATCGCTAATCAATAATTTACTATTATCGTGGATTTTCGGAGAATCCAATACAGTATTGTTTTGTGACTATGTCGATTGTCCGAGCTTTAGGAGTCCGTCAGATAAGTCTGTTGCTAAAGGGGAATCAGAGAGCACGGTGTGGAGCAATAATTCAAAAGCATCACGATAACGCCACGCGTCATTTCATGCCTGAATTTCAACGTAAGTTCGATGTTTCCTTTGATCTGAATAGTGAGCTTGTGAAAGTTCTGATTGCCCCGGGCACGCCACGGCCGGTGCATCGCTGTCCGATGAGGATTGACATGATGCGTTTTAATCAATTAACGTGCAAAACGCAGTTTACGAGTCAGTGAGCAGTGAAATAAGCGGACCGCGCAGGCCACCGTGTCGCTACGTTTTTAAACGATCTCCGGTTACAAAGCTTTTTTCGAAAGGTTTTTCGTGTGATAACTTCATAATTGAGACGAAAGTTGATCTCGGTGACTTTAGTATGTCCGGACGATTATGTCTCGGCATTAGCGAATTTGATATTGTGTAGGTCTAACTAACCCTTTTTCGTAAAAACCGAATCAGTCTAATTCCATTCTTTTACTTAAGTTCTCTCGTCTCTTTCTACCAATTGTGTTTACGCTGTGATGAAAAGAGACATATAGATAGAATCGCGTATTTGATACTCGCGTGTGTCTTATCTGCCTAAATTAGAATTGTCACTCGAATTTAATCACATATCGAGGCGCACACGCAAACGATTACTTTCGATTATCGTCGACAAATTAATACTGGTGTTCCTAATTGGGCAGACGATTCGAATTGATAAACCGATAATATCGACTTATCGAAATTATGTCAGATAGCCGGTTTGAATAATTGATCCGGCTATAGCAGAATGATCAATCAATCACTAATCACATGTTTGCGCAACGTCGACCGGCCTCGTTTGGGGAAATTTTCCTATTTTTTATCGCTGATATCGTTTAATTATTGTCAGTACAGTTATTATTTTCTACTTGGCTCAACCTAAATAATTTTTATCAGATTCCCAAATCTATTGTTGTACTGTTTGCGCTTGAGCAATCGATTTTACTTTTTCGTTTTAAATTGTTCCGTCGACCTGCAATGTGGTTAATATCTCGGATCTTAATTAAACCTGTTGCCGATAAAAGATATCAAAATCAGGAAGAGCATTGATTATTACAGCAAGATTTCCGTTTAGATTTTTACATTCGATATCCAGTAATTATGATTAAAACTTAAAAGATACTTTACAAATACGGTGATACCTACCAAAGTTAATAGAAACAATACAAGAGCCACATGCTAATAGAAATATTCTCTTTGTCCTCAGAAGAAGCCACAAGTCCAGATAGCGGGACGAAGGATCAGCGCGAGCGGGGCAGGGGCGCGGCGCGGGGAGAGGGAGAGTCCTCTCCGCCCGCGTCCCCCGCGTCCCACGCCTCACCACCACCAGACGACATCGAGCACAGCATACCAGCCACGCTGATACAGGACCCCAACGCGGAAAGGTTAATCTAAATTTGTATTTGTGTATACCACTACTGTTGAAGCAAGGTTGAAGACTACACCTGAGGGTTTTATTAAGACGGTCACTTTTGCGTGAACTAACTGGTTAGTTAAGCCAATCTAACTTCTAAGCAGAAGCCCAAAAGCCTCCTTCAGTGACCACAGGCTTCTTGGAGAGAAACCGGCTCATCAAGTAGATTTACCAACCCCTGGCTCCAGATGACGTGGTAGACCGTTCCTCAGCTATCAATCCCTTCATGCAGGACTGTCTTTATAGCAAATAAATTCTTGTCCAGCGTTCAACCAATACATCCGACGGTAATTTGATCACTTTTGACTGACTTTATCTTAGCATTGAATCTAGTTTAGAAATGTAAAATCAACTTGTGATTTTTATTTATCACCGTTATTGACATAATTCCATTATCCGATAATTCCGAATCGCAAAAACAATTATTAATGATTACGCAATGACGTCATAAATACTTGGAATAATCGGTTATCGTAGCAAATATGAATGGTTAATAATATTACTTTCACAATTGATCATACAAGATTATATGGCCGTCGTGGTGGTCGTGCCTTCAATCCCACACTTAACGATGCCATTGTTTTAGATGATCAGTTGTCAACTGCTGTCCAAGACGCTAGAATCCACCAATCATAACCTCGAACACAATCCTTATATTAAAGCATTAGAGTTCATAATAGACAATGATTTATTGCTTGTGGCAATGGTTACGATAGTGACAGCTGGTAGTGACACTAAAAATGATCACGGACTCCAGGTTTGACACTCCATCAATAAAATATGTTTAACTGAAGAAGCTCCAGGATAGAAGATTGATCGATCCTAGATAATACCTTTGTTTAAACTTATATCTATTTCCGGTATCAGTTACTGGAGTCTGTGCGCGATCCGTTGCTGCAGTGCTATTTTACGATGTTGGCAACACTGTTATGTCATTATAGTTTGACTGATTTTGATAATAATATGAAACAATTACATCGTTAACTAGCCGTTTCGCGCCCGCTTTGCTGGACGAATTAAAATAAATTTTATGTTTCATTATTTTATTTTTTTTCATATTTTTATTATTCTTCTTTTTAACTTCCCGCTAAGAAAATTGAAATATTTCGAAAATCGAGTTTTTAACAGATGTTGACGTTTAGAGGTTCTAGGAAGCCTCCCCGAATGTTTCCGCGGTGAAGTCCGTATGGATAAATTTTCATAAAAGTAAAACAGCAATAAAAAATTTCGCATCGAATGGTGGTAGTTTCGATACGATCAGTGGTTTAGGCGTGAAGGAGCCTCAAACGAAGACCATTTTTCTTTTATATATATAGATTAAAACCTAAACAGATCAATCAAATACACCAACAGTATTTACAATTTTCTTAATCTACATAGTAATAATAAAACTAATTAAAAATGAATAAAGAGAAAATTAAACGCTGTACCTTTAACGCTGGCAGCATTTCCGTGCTGTATTGCGGTCGCTCTCAAATCAGTCGTGAAGCAGTCATTTTATGATTTGGCATTCTGAAAAGGTGGAAGCTTGTTGTTTATTGTTTATCAGAATGCCAAATCATAAAATGACTGCTTCACGACGGGATGGAGAGGGAGCGCCGGAGGGAAAACCCGGGGGGGGGGGGAAATGTTAAACATTATGATTGGGGATTCTATTAGACAGCGTTGAACGACACTAAAACAATAGCATGTTAAGTGTGGGATTGCAAGGCCAACAACACGACAGAATCGCAGGGCGCTCGGGGATCACCGGTCTATCCACCCCCCACAAAAAACTTTAAAAAACCCCCGGGCCCCGCCCCCCCGGCCCAAGGCCCCCCCCCCAAGGGAAAAAAGGGGGGGGGGGAAATTTGAGCCGTTTATATCTTCCGCCCCAGCTTTTGCTTGTCCGAGGGAATGATAATAATATATTAGTTCGCATAACATAGCGTTAACATAATTAATTAAACAAATTAAGTATAATTAAATTACCAAAAAACCAGCTAAACAAAATACACGCGCTATTAACAACTTAATTGGGAATATAAAATTTTATGAGAAATAAAATCTATAAGACCAAGGGCACAATTTGAAACAGATTGATTGTGGGAAATTGATTCTTATGCCAATAGGAATAGGGGCTATTGAATTGTAAAGTTTTCTAAAAAGCAAGTAATGTATTGGCAGGCTATCCGCGTTGCCTGTTCCATCACTGTCAATTAGCTGCAGTGAGACGTCATCAATCATAAACATTCTCTCAGAATATCCATCTCAGACTATTGTTTGGATTTTTATACAATTTTTTTTTTCTATAAAACAGGAAACATTTTAATCACTATAATCAATAATTAGCAATATTCACCGCGTTTTTTCATGTGTGTTATGGAAATGATCCAACTGTTATTATTTATTTAATGTATATATGACTACATGTTCATGTATTAACGTTACATAAAGGTAAAATAATAAGAAAAATGCATCTTAAGACTAACAGTCAAGGCAACCAATTAGAATTTATGATGAAAGTATATTTTTTAATTCCATATTCTTTTCTTAATTGAGTTATATATCTTTATATATTTGTATTGAATCCAATTTAAACATAACATGACTACAAAATGTTTCTTAGATTTTCCAATGCTTACAAAATATCCTTGAAAGATTACTTCCTATTTTATGACATACAATAAGTTCTGGGGTTCGAGTCCCGCTCTTTTATAGCTTCAGACATCAGCTGTTTGTTTAAAATTCACCTTGTTACTGCGGAATTATTCAAAGTGTCAGGTGTCCCTAACAAGTGCAGCCCGCATGACGATATGACGTCACCAACGAATAAAAATTGAATGAAGAACTAAATAAAAAATTATATTCCATATTTAAAAAAAAACAGAATAGAAAATTAGTATCTATACCTAAAAAATTGTCTATTAATTTATATTGTAAACAAAATTAATATAATTTGAATTTGGAATTTTATGTTCTTAATTTTAAAAAGTGCAAATCTTGTTGCCAAAAAGGCGCTTAGGTATATTTAAACCAAATAACTACATAGTATAGGTTTTATGTTGTTTCTTTAATTTAACTAGCTTTTTAAAATGATATAATATTTTTTAGAAAGGCCTGAACACAGAATAGGTAATAGTTTAAAGTCAAGACAAGTCAAAACTCTTTACTACATATCTACTAGGGCAAAATTATATTTAATTAAAAAACTTAACGTTATTCGTGCTAATCAATTAAATAAAGTCTGGCAACTGACTCAGTTTTGACCAATTTTTTCAAGTTTTATAAATGTGCGTCGTTTCCGAAAGTGTGCGTGCCGAATGCAGGGAAAGAGTATAATACCTGTCACATAAATATAAGTGATTGATTGACCCGCACCCGACTAATGCTTATAGGAAGCAATAAACAGCTGGCGATCCGTTTGAAATTTCATACGTTTGTTTCAAAAGTTGGCTCCGGTTATGGTTAGAATCAGATTAAAATGTATCCGTCCCATCGTTAGATTTTATTCGCTTTGAAGTTAATATCGATTCAACTAATTCGTATTAGATTCGTTCCAGCATTTTTCATAACGTTAGAGTAAACAAGACATTTTCCTTTGTCAAAGCCGGAAATCTGTTCATGATACACGTAAATCCATCCCCTGTCCCCTGTCTGTCCTGACGTTGAAAGGTCTCGTCCCCACGTTTTGTTACGCTCCTTGTCAGCGCCTTTTAATCCTATAAGTCGACAATCTTACGTCTTACATTTAATACTAAGAATAAAACACGTTCGTTTATCTCATCGACAGCTCATCAAACTTTTGATTGGTGTCAGGACGGTGACTCAGCTATGCGCTAGCCGCTGTCGAGCTGTCAACGAAACGTTCGGTCGTCATTGCACGTCCATCCACCTCGCGCAGAGCACGCACGCTTGCATTACGCAGCGCACCACCCCTCGAACGTTGAACACGTATACCCGTCTCTGTCCTGCGCTCTGATTCGTCCGTTCGTTGGGCGACTGTCTCTCTTTCTCGCGAGGCGTGCGGGGGGAGGGTGCAGCAGGCGGGTCGTAAATCACGAGGATCTCATTCCACGCGGGACCTCCGCCGCTGCCGCAGGCATTGCGCATTTACTTCTCGACCGCCGGCCGCGTCTTTCGTGTCGTGTTTACATTTACAATACTTCTTGGGAAGTCTATCTCTTGTATTGTAAATAAGTGTTTAATCGATAAGTTGTGTCTCTTAATGGATTCAAAAACTTTTCAACATTCGCCGTTTTGAGAATTCAGAAAAAATTACATCGAAGATGATCGTTGAGCCGGACCACATGAGGTACGCCTTTTATTTATACAAGTTCACTGTTTTTTTTAATTAAAACTTCTTTCAATGTATTATTCACGATTTACATATTAAAATGTTTGCTATTGTTTTTTCTGTTTCTACACTTTAAAAAACTAACCTTGAGATTATGTTATAGATTTTTGAGTAGGGTTTTGTTTTAAACTAACATTTTACTATTTTTGATTAAAACATGTAGATACATAATAAGGAAATTATAATTAATATATTGCTATATATTTGTTATTTTATATTCTTTGATGCTTGACAATGATACTTCAGTCATGTGAAACTCATGAAAGGAAATTAATATTGATAAGTAGCACCTGTGTTCAGTCAGAGGTGGCGTGTTGTTGGCAACACTAGCCATTGGCGAACTTTAACGTCCCTAATCTCTCTATTCTCGTTGACAAGATTTATTTTTATTGTTTCATGTTTATTCGAACACATTGTTTAATCTATGTTTGTAAGGTATAATTATTATTTTCTTGTAAATTGCATTTACTAAGCCCAGTTTATGGTGCTAATAAAGCCTTTATCTGGACATTATCTATTATTTAACACAACTATTGCCGTACAATATCAATAATAATGTAATTTACTTAACGTAAACGGTGATATTAAATTACAAATGCCAATAAAATGCGTGGATGGATTAAAGCTATTCGGGAACATTTAAGTTTTAACAATTGTTATAAACTTTACAGTTTGATGACGTGATTATTACTATATATTCTTATTATGCGATACCACCCGGATCACTGCATTAATACTACTTATGAATTTATCAGTATCAAAATCTAAGATTATTTGAAGAAATTGTATGATTGATGAATTAATGTATGTTCTTTACCAGATATTTTCGTCGCCCTCAATAATTAATAAATGTTTAAGATATTAATGCGTGTTTATCAATAATATTTATACCACTCGTGTATAGCCGCCGGAAAACCGGTTTTGTTACAAATGTAATGCGACTTGAAATATTATTAAGGATTTATGACATGATATTTATTGTTGTTATTTCATTGTCAACAGGGAGAGTCCGAGGTGCTTGTCGCGCGAATCATCTGGTGCGCCGCGATGTCCCTCAAACGACTCCGTGTACTCGGGTCGGAGTGCGCCCAGCCTCCCCCTCCCCGCCGCCCTCTCTGCCGCCCTCCCTGCTGCCTTGCCCGCTGCCCTGCTGCCCCCTCACTCGGCAGCCGTTGCAGCATACCTTGGTGCGGCAGCTGCAGCCGCGCAACAACGCCTCCTAATGTCGTGCCACGAGGACCTGGCTGACGCCGAACGATCCGATGCAGTCCTGGACTTCAGTACAAAACGCAGTGAGTCACCCCCCGATGATGACGATATTGACGCAGATGATGCTGTCAATCTTAGCAAAAATGAAAACTGTCCTTTAGACTTGTCAGTTGGTACTAGGAAAAGAGGACCTGAAAATTCTCCCTCTCCTGTTCCGACTAGAAAAAGTTCTAGGTCGACTGACTTTAAACCTCTTACTACACCATGGACGACACCCGTTGCCCCACATCTGCCATACTTTGCTGCAGCAGTGGCAGCTGCTAGCTTGTCTCCTAAAGGAAGCTTATCTAGTGATTGGAACGGAAAATTGAAGCATGGTGCACCTACACCTAGCGACGCAACAAAAGCTCTAGAAAAAATGAGTGAATTAAGTAGATTAGGAGGCGAAGAACTCTTTAGATCGGTTCAAAGCGCAGCTTTGGGGGCTGGGTTGACGCCGAACGCCGCGGCTAGACATTCAGCATGGCAATCTCATTGGTTAAACAAAGGTGCGGACCAAACCAAAGACGTTTTGAAATGTGTTTGGTGCAAGAAAAGTTTTAATTCATTAGCTGATCTAACTGTTCACATGAAAGAAGCTAAGCATTGTGGCGTAAACGTGCCTATGCCTCCGACATCAGGAGCTCAGATGACACCGTCACTTCACCCGCCGTCTAGTTCGCCATCGACGCCATCACACAATTCTTCATCTTCCACTAGTTCATCAAAACCTAATCATAATGACCTAAATATGCTTATTAAGGAAAATATGCCTATACCCAGAAAGTTAGTTCGTGGACAAGATGTATGGTTAGGAAAGGGGGCTGAACAAACTAGACAAATTTTGAAATGTATGTGGTGTGCTGAAAGCTTTCGATCATTAGCCGAAATGACCAGTCATATGCAGCGTACTCAGCATTATACAAACATAATATCGCAAGAGCAAATAATATCGTGGAAATCTTCTGATGAAGCTAAAGGTTCAAATTCAAGTACTCCGGGTACAAACAATACTGTACCTCCTACTACGGGAACAAGTAGTCATGTTAGTGCAGTTTTAACTTGTAAGGTATGTGACCAAGCGTTTAGTTCTTTAAAAGAATTGAGTAATCATATGGTTAAAAATTCGCATTACAAAGAGCATATTATGAGATCTATTACTGAGAGTGGAGGTAGAAGACGTCAAACACGTGAAAAGCGAAAAAAATCTTTGCCGGTAAGAAAATTACTTGAACTCGAAAGAGCACAGCATGAATTTAAAAACGGTGAAGGTAATGGCGTTCCCATGGGAAAGCCTATTCGAGATTTTGGCACTGGTAGTAGAATTACTTGCGAAAAATGCGGTGATAAAATAGAGACTGCACTATTTGTAGAGCATATTAGACAATGTATAGGCGCGCCTATGTCAAATAGCCAAAGGAACTTTCTGAAAAGTGCGCTTCTTTCTAATAATATTATTCCTCCGGATGTTCCTGGACACGTCACACCGACTAATCGCGATGGTAGGAAAAGCATTAACGATGAAATTCCCTCACCTGGATCCGGACACCACCGGTCGCCTTCTTCTATGAATGACTCATCTCCAAGCTCCAAAGATCCTAATGCTAGTAACGATAAAAGCTCATCGCCTTCTGTTTTAAATGCCATTGAACAGTTGATCGAAAAAAGTTTCGACACTCGATCTCGACATTCAGTACCTGGAATGCCTGGTGGTACATCCCATGCACCAATCGGTTCGAGCATTTTAAAAAGACTAGGGATAGATGAAAGTGTCGATTACACAAAACCACTAGTAGATCAGCAAACAATGAATATGCTCAGGAATTACCACCATCAACAAGGCTACGGTCGTCGTGAAAGAAGCGGCAGCGAGTCTAGCTCAATGTCTGAACGCGGTGGGAGTAGAGTCGAATCTCTCACTCCAGATAGGAAGTTAGATTCCTATCACATGACTCCCCGTACCACACCAGACACGCGAGGTTCACAGACACCAGCGTCTGAAGCAGACCGACAATCCGAAGTAAGGATTAAGAAAGAGGTAACAGACGAAGATGAGTGCGAAAACGGTGTTGACTTAAGTAATCAGCCTGTTAGGGTTAAAACTGAGGTTGACGACGATGAAGAACAAGCGCGCCCAAACAGTTCAGTAGAGGAGGATGTCAAACCAACTCTGCCAAAGCGTGAAAGTGAAGGCCCAAGTCCAGTTCCCAGCCCTCGCAGTCCTTCCAGTGACCGCTCCGCACCAACGCCGGGCTCTGATAGAAAACCAGCTTCAAGCTTAGGTGCTTTATCTTCAATGTTCGATAATTTGGCTGGAGGTGGGTCATCAACTGAACCTAGTTCTTCACGCCGAAGTGGCAGTCATCCATTAGCCGCTCTACAAAAGCTCTGTGACAAAACTGAAAATAATTCCAATCGAGCGCCTCCACCCGCTCCGTCTCCGGCCGGCCCGCCCAGTATCCTAACATTCAGCTGGGCTTGCAATGATGCTGTCGTCACCGATTCTATTATGAAGTGTGCCTTGTGCGACACTCCATTCATATCCAAAGGTGCTTATAGACACCATCTGTCTAAAATGCATTTTGTTAAAGACGGTGCTTTGCCAGAGCCAGTGCCAATGAAAGCCCCACCTCCGGCCGCTTCTCCCGGAACTCATAAAAGTGGAGGATCTAATGCTGCTTCGCCTCAAGATCCTCGCAGTCCATCGCAATCGTTTGATGAGAGTCCACACTCGAAATTTTTAAAGTATACTGAATTAGCAAAGCAATTGTCCAGCAAGTACGTGTAAATGTGACGCGCTGACATCTGCCGTGATGATACCATATCCTGCATTGAACCATAATAGGTTTAGGTCGCGATGCGACGCTAAGTATTTCGAAACTCTTTGCCAATTTAATTATTTAGGTAATCGTTAGAGGTCACCGCGTAGTACGGTTAGTGTAATTAATCTAGCGACATAAGTATACGCCAAACGTCTTACGTTCATTTAGGTCTAAGAGAATATTTTTAAAATATTGCCTTTAGGTGAAGAGGTTGTTGCGGTCATTTGGCCTATCTTCCACAGTATATTGTAATTCCATTTCGATAATTGTAAATATAAGTCACACTAAGTCTTGAAATTTAGATTCGATCTCTTGTAAATGTATATTTTTTGCTAATAATACTAAAGGGAATTAACGATTAGCGCGCGCGGGCGCCGGTCGGGCTGTCGCGTTCACGTCAGTATTTTTAACAAATTCGTTGCAATATCTTTCGTGTTACTTAATTTTTATGTAAATCAGAGTTAGAGTTAACATGTTTTAAGTTTAATCTATGTATATTTTGATGTTTTTGTTTCTAAGATGTCCGTCGATCCTGTAATCTCGGAGATCCAATCTCACGTTCGAACCTGTAAATAGTCGCAGCCGCAGTCATAGTATGCAATATTAAAATCTCGTTAGTGTAAAGTCGCTCTAGGTACTCTCTTCGCGAGATCGCTATTTATTATTTAGATTAAGTAAGTAAAATTAGGTAACCTACTGTGAACACGTGTATACCATTGTAACAGCGCATTACGGTTGTCCGATTAAAATTATATTTAAAATTATTAAAGTGATATGTTACTATTTCTTTGAGGACAATTACATTCGTATACGTTTAGGCCATTCGGTATTGAGAGAATCTTCCAGTTGTAACAGTTATACGATGATGTATATACGGTCTTATGAGTGAAAACTCTTTTATATTTAGTAAAGAATATTGTAAACTTGTATTGTGTAAGTCAGAATGAAACGTGGATTATCGGAACACATTTTAAGGAAGCTAAAATATCATGCTGATTGATTAAAGTTATACTATTTTTTAAATTCCTTGATGTGTTTCGAAAGTCAACTATGATTCATAAAATATCATTTAAATGTAACTCAAAACGAAATAAATGTATACGCTAGCTCTGATGAGAATTGCTCATTCTTAAAATGGTGTTAAAATTGATTTTACCAAATTGAATAATCTTATTTAATATTTTATGTTGTATTTCAAAATGCAATTAAAAGCTCAAAGAAATATATATGTTAAATACTTTAAAGGTTATTTTATTTATCTTAATGTCCATATTTTAAATAAATACACGTTTTTATTTTAAAATAAATGATAACGTAATTATACTAAAGTCTTTTTTATTCTAAATATTTTGATAACAATTTCAATGTTCCTTATATACCCAAAATATTCGCGCAGACATCGCTCAAAAATAAATCATACTGACTTATGGTCCTAATATATGAGCTATAATTCTCAAATTGATAAATATTAAATGTACCTAAGTACTATTTAACTTTAACTAATTGAGGCCTATTCGAGGTAAAAACCCGTTGTCATTTTAAAATCAATATCAGTTTTAGTAACAGATATTTCCCTTGCTTACATAAAGTATTTGAGTAATTTAGTTTTATGAAGAAAATGCCCCAACGTGTCTTCAAGCGTTGCATCTGCAGCTACTTTAAAAAATAAAAAAAACATCCTATAAAAAGGCAAAAATACAAGATGAAAATCACAGTTATCAGTGCAACTAGAACTAGACTAATATATTAGGGAAAACTACTTAATTAGCCACATTGGAGCCCCCGAGGAATCGGACAGGCATCTCGAGTGAGCAGGCGTCGACTTAATCACAGTAACGACGCCACATTTCATGTTCGACGTTAAGAATTGTTCACTGTCTATCGCCGGTCAAGTTTGTATTACTTTATATTAATGTAGGGACAAACAGCAATGGTTAACGTGTAACGGTTTTCTTTTAATGTAGGTCGGACACGTTATTTAGTTTGTAGCAAGTGAAAATCATCCTAACAAAAATGGCAAAATAAAGGTGTAGTGTTCGTGAAATAAATCTTTATTTGTCCATCACGCAATATTTCTTTTCTTTCTTTTTCTAATGTTTAAGAAGTTCAATGGTGCTTTTTTGTCAAAGAAAACAATCATTTAATGTCTGAACATTTTACTGTAATATTAATAACTGACGTTAGGACCATATCAGAGCGTCATAACTTACATCAAACTCATACCAAACCTTATTTCACGATATGGCCAGTTATGATGACAATTTCTTGATGGTTACGTCATGCGGCCAATTCTACGATAGTGCCACACAAATTATGGAACCCGTTAGTATTCAGGGCTACCGGTAACCGTGCTAGGTAAGTATCAAAGTTAACAAAAGCACAAACATAATAAAAAAAGTGTGTACGTACAAAGTACACATGTAAGAAGTAAAACTTCTTTGGCCGAGACTTAGAGGGAGGGAAAACGGAATATATGATAGGATTTTAATGAATTTAATTGTCATTATAATTAAGTGTCGAAAAATACAAATAATAAATTAAATTTTTTAAATTTATTTCTTCGATAATAACACGTGGAATTTTAATGTACAATTCGTCATTTGAGATTTCAATAAATTATTTTGCATAAAATATAAAATACTAATATTTCATCAATTCTATTAACGAAAGTTTAATTTTAAAAATAGAATTTCTTTAAGGTAATTCGCCCTTCTCACTCTCGCTCAATCGGTCTCTCTCTTTTCTTCGACAAAAACGCTGCACATCTTCGTGACGTTTCATCCGTAAACAAAATACCCTCATGCGCCTCTTTAGGCGCATGAGGGTATATATATATAGGTAACTTCTTTAAGTTTCACTTCAAAAAGTTTCAGAGCTCAGCGATGTGCCTATAGCTGAGAATTACTGCTAAGAGTAATTGTGACGTGGAAAGTAGGTTAAACAGAAGGAAGGAGATGACTATTGACGGAGTAGGATTTGACGGAGACGTAGGGTAATTTACAATGAATTAGACACAATAAAGAGAAAGCGCGACTTGAATATTGAAGGGAACAGGACCTGCGGCAAAAATTATAAAAAATTTAGAGCTTTTTGAACTGATTTGACTTTGACGTTGTTAATTTATACGATCTGTGACATGTCGACGTAGGAAAGCATATTTGCTGTAAGTAGACAAAATACCTAAAGTGACTTTTTCCTGTCATTAGAATCAGAAAAAAAAGCCGCATCGAATGACCTGGGTCCTGTGTCTCTACGATGAAAAAAAAATTACATACGCCGTTGAAAACGCCCGTACTTATATTATTTTTAGCAAGATTAAATGCTGTATGTAGACCAAAATCTAGTCATTTCAGACATTTTGCACTTACAGCAAAAGAAAATCTGCATTTTTTTCTTTACAAATACTTACTTCTTCCCATTTAAAAACTTAACGCTACTTACAGCATTTCAGGGGCGTATGATTTTTACATTCGTTTACTTACAGCAAGTTTAGGGAACCTACAGTTTTGGTTTTTTTTTTACCATTTACGACATTTTATTTCAACCAAACATTACATTACCAAATGACCCACTGCATTTCTAGATCTAATCATAATTATAAACTAATCTTACATCTTGAATTGCAATTAAAAGTACCCAAATACATAAATTTCCTGCATACAGCATATTTACCGCCTGTAAATTGATAATATTTCCGCGCGTACATTTTTCTTCCTTAGTTACAGCGTTTTAAAGGTTTGTGATTTAAAAAACTGTTTGCTGTAACTAGCCAAACACGTACTTATAGTAACTTTGGATAAAAAGTTTACATTGCAAATGGTGACTGGCAGTTAAATAAATATATGTTTCAAAAATGGTAGCAATATCATGGATAGGTCAGACACTATTATTTTTTTCCGAAATTAATAAAGTTTTTTGGCTCTGGTGAACAATTGCAATATGTCTACTTACAGCAAATGTGCTTTCCTACGTCGATGTGTTCATCTGCTGAAGTATTTTTTTACGGTAGAAATTGTATTTAAAAACATATGTATAAAACTATCAATTTAAACTTATCTGCATCGTATTTATTCCACATAGAAGAAAGTAAATCATTTAAGGAAATATTAATATTATATAAAAAAATCTTTTTTGTAAATCAATTGGACATTAATCTTGTTTATAGTCGAAAGTTACTTTAAGCTCGCCCCTAACAAAAGAAGCGTAAACCCTTTGACAAATGCGAGGCTATCGTGAACATCAGTCCGCTTATTACCCCAACTAAATCATTTATTGTGCTAAATCTAGCCATTTACTCAACGAGAGGTCGAAGAGACCGATCACTCAAGTGTCGCGTCCGTGACTGACGGGTTAACGTGTTGCCAACTCCCAAATACAAAACTGCGCTAACTAAAAGCGCAAATCTCTTTTACTCTCTAGGAGCGTTAATTAAGACTATTTTGTGGTTCTAAACCCAAACAAAATCCCTATTTAACTCATTAAAGAAATAGCGCTAGGCGCTTATTTTGAGCGCTACAGAATTCAAAATTCCGCTAGCAAAAGCGCAGAGGCGCTGAATTGGCATCAGTCAACGCGATCTTTAGAAGGCAGTAGGGTTGAGCATTGTTGCGGGACAGAGCAAAGGTAACATAACATTAAAGATATTTATTTGCCGAAACGCTGGTAAATAGATTTAATACAAAAAGGGCATTTGCCTGTTCATAGCTTAGAATAAGCACGGAATACAGTCTCTTAAATTCAAGTAAAAAGTATTGTGGTAAGATAAACAGTATTCGATAATCCGGTATGATTACTAGCTCTATAGGGATATCGAGTAGACTAGACGAATATACTTAAGATAATTTAGCAGTGTCTTTACGTGATCTGTTATAATATAATATACTTATTCATAACGAATAAATCAGTCATTATTTCACAATTTTACTAAAGTAAATCACTGGCCATAAAGACAAAACTATGGCGCCCT